GCAGGTATTTAACCTCCAGTGGGGGGTTGTCACTTGAGGTGGCCCTGAGAGCAGTTGACCCACCCTATTATCATGCGAGTCGTAAGGGTCACATGATCTGAGGGACTTCTTAGAACTGAAGAAGTCCCTCGGATGAGAGGTGAAACCCATTCATGGACCTAAAAGAAAGCTCAGTTTCCATCAATTCAAAGTCTTAAGATGGTCAGCGCAGATATTTTATGCCTATAACACTAACACCTCTGTATGCTTGCAGGAGTTTTCCTGCTTTTATAATATTGTTACTTCACATACTTCTTGTGTGGACAACAGAGATGGGCAGTAACGCGTTACTGTAATCTGATTACTTTTTCAAGTAACGAGTAAAGTAAGGGATTACTATTGCAAAAACGGTAATTAGATTACTGTTACTTTCCCGTAAGCACGTTGCGTTACTGCGTTATTAAAACCGTGATTTTCTTGCGAGAATGTCTCATGACAGTGACGTAAGCAAGTGCGACGTTCGTGGCAACAGCTGTGTGCAGATCAACAATGGATAATATATCGAGTGCGGGAGAGAGTAGGAGCGTGCAGCGTTTAAAGCGTGGAAGAACTGACCTTACTTTGAGTTTGATTCCATAAAAAGTGACAAAAACATTAGCGTCCGCTGTTCACTGAGTGGGAAGAAAACCCCTTAACTTCCGAGCAAGCACCGAGTGCGCTACCACGTAATGTGAAATTCACAGAGAAACTCGCGGATTGTTCCACTGACCGCTGCGGCACACCTGCACCAGGGTAAACCTCCGCCTACGTCACTCCTGCTATACAGGTGAAAATAGAGCAACAGGACCGCTAGTCTTTGATTTTATTTATTTTCTGCTGTGTTTTACTTGCATTTATTTGAAAGACTGAGTGTAAACACAAAAAAATATTTTATTTTATGTGCTGGAATGTGCAGAAAATAGGTTTAAATGTTAAACAAATTTCTTCCAGTCAGTGAATGTTGCATATAATTAAATTTTTGCTTGATGCTCACTTTGAACGTCTACTTAAAAAATACAAATATGAAGGCAACCAAAAAGCTCAACACGAGCCTTCAAAACAGGGGTTTAGATACGTTTAATGTAACTAATTCAACAGAAAGTTTAAATTCAGTCTTCTTGTTATTATACAAAATCCTTTGCTTCAGTCTGACTCATACTCACAATCTTCCTGATGTACTGCCTACAATATAAGCAATATTTTCAAGGTAATGGTTTAGGTATAGCATTTTAAATTCCTTTCTCCTGTTGAGAAGCTGTACAATGTTTCATATTCTATAACTAATGTTTAGTAAGTAGCAAGTACCTCCACCACTGTGGGATTTATTACTGGGTAAGTGTAAACAAACACACAACAGCAATAATGTTTAAGAAAACAAATTATTTAGCACTGTGCTAAATTATTCCTGTTGCACATTTGTTTACACTTACCTTTTGTGACACTGGTTCCACCTCAGCAACGGCGCTGCCGTTAATGTTCGTTATTGCCCACCATTGTCTGAATGTTGTTTTCAAGGACATCATGGAGATACACTGCTATGGTGGATGAGGGTTGCATTTACTATTTGATTACAACCTGCAACCCACAGCATTACTCCTCATTAACTTAAGTCAGATAGTATCTGTAATTATGCAGATTCCCTCTGACTAATTACCTGGACAACTGCTCATACCACTAAATTAATGTGCGATCCACTGAAGCTGTGAAGTACTACTACTCAATCATTTTACACCCTTGTTACAATTTAAAAAAAAAAAAAATAAGAAGCCTGTCTTCTTATGTGACACTTGAGCCACATCTTGATTACATTAGAGAGAGAGCGATGACTGTAGGCATGAACTCACGGACTGAGGGTCTAAAACTGCACAGACACAATAAAAAAAAGAAAGATCAAGAAGGCTGAATATTGACAGGGCAGCTGTCGGGGTCAAAAGCAGATGAATCTAAATAACTTTGATACCCTGTTTGCTCATTAATGCCAGAGATACACAGGGGTAGCAGTTATTACATGATGTTTGCTACATTTTTTAGTACAGGATAGCATTGGAGATGATAAAGTTATCATTTTTTAATGACGCATCTGGTAAGATTCCACCAAGATGGCAGATGAGAAATTCATCTGAAGCGCCATCAATTTCTAGGGTGAACGTTTGAACTCTGTGAGCAGGTTTTTCATAGCTTCCCCATCAACATAAAATGACCTGCTCAATGAGGTGGAGACAATGTTTTTCAGTCGGGCAATTTAAAAGTGTGGGGCGTTCAAAAGGCAATAAAGGAAAACAGTGTCTCTTTGTGTAAAGGAAGAGCGCTGATATAATTAATCCCATTGTGTTTGACTTAAAAGCGCAGAAAGGCAGCAGACTTGTGAACCTTTGCAGGCATTTAGTAATACATGACCTCAGTGATGAGCGATCTGATGGCCAACAGAGAGACCAATAACATATGCACACATACAAACTCTGAGCTTGTTTTTATATCAGAAATTAATCTACTGACTAAGAGGACAAACACAAGGGTCTCGAATTGTATTATGAAAAGCAGTTATTGTTGATGTGGACACAGATAATGAGAGGATTACATTTCCCATCACAACAGGATTATGTGAAAAAAAAGACCATGAATTCAACTAAGGGGTTTATGGGAAAATATTTTGAAAATGCTCCCATGTGTTTCCATTTTTTAGATAAAAAATGTAAAAAGCTGACTCTGATGAAAGCCAGGCTGTGTGAGAGAAAAGAACAGAATAGAATAGAAGAGCCCTTTATTGTCATTGTACATGAAATTGTGGAAATCTACCTTCTGTTAACAATGACAACAAACACTACAAATCAGGCACTGCTGGGATTTGAACCCAGGATCTCCTGTTTACAAGACAGACACTTTAACCAACTAAGCATAAAACCAGCAAAGTATAACATTTAAATAGAATGCAGTCATTTGCAAATTATTTAACTCTCCTGGGTTTCAGGGCCTAATTTGTAGTTTTTGTTTTTTCATAATGTGCTTTTGTCTGCTGAGGCACCTTTATCTGAGTTACAATATGCATGACCTGTAGATTATTTATCAACTGTTTGTCCTATACAAGGCACGATTCGGTTCTGATGAGATGTTATTGCTATCAATCATGGTCAATCATGTGACCTGTCACAGGCGATAAGATGCCGCTGCCCTGTGTTTCACAGTCTGATGAAGAGCAGGTGTGCTTGAAACATCACACATTAAATAACAAAATTGGAGTTTTAGGATGAGAACCATTAATTCTTTTCTATTTTTCATAACAAGCTGAATATTTTCAAAGAGTGTTTGATTACAAGGCCAAAAAGTTTAAAGAAATGCAGGATGTGGTTTAGCAAAGCTGTCCTTGAATAAGACATCATCTTGATGGCGACATACAGTATGTTGCTCCAAAACCGGCCTTATCATTTGCATCAATGGGAAGTTACTCATATTTATGGACCTCACACTATCATCAATACTGTACAGAATGGTTTCTCTGCCATTTATGCATCAAAACGCACGCAGAGTCCATGATTTTGATTTTGCAAGCAGCTATTTGCTGTAGCTGTTTGATGGCAATGTTTTTTTGCTCCCGAAGGCAGTGCAGTGACTTCAGCTAGAGAATCAGTCTGTTTTTAATGCGGTGCTACCTGAGGGCACAAAGATTATGGCCATTTAGAGCTGGTTTCTACTTGTCCCCTGTACAGCACTTTCTCCAGATTCCCTGAATCCTTTAATGACATCATGCAACCTGAGGATGAAAAACCCAAATTATCTTATTTTAAGACTGAGGTACATTATTTTTAAGTTAATCTATGTTCACCTATTTTCCCAATTAGTCGTTCACAGTGCTGAAGCCTTCTTCATCTTTTTAGTCTTTTGTTCTCTCAGTCTGACACATGTTGTCAGCATCAAAACAATTTTACATTCGACAAGTATTTATGGTTTTAATGATTTACAGAAATAGCTGCATTCTCTTTTTATTTACAGCTTCCAAACATTTTTGGGTACAGAGTGGGGGGTAACCTTTTGAATGAGATTTAGTCAAACTAGGAAACTAATAACCTGCTGCTTCGTAAAATAAAAACTATAAACATTTAGAAACGGTGACCTAATGTTTTGGATTCTTTGTGCTGGATTATCTACCAAAGGCCTGAGGCAAACTTTGTACAGTTCGTTTTATAATTCTCCAGACTGAAAAGCATAAACACTCTTTTGGAAGCTGGAAAATAAGCTGTCACACTGACTGTAAGATGACCTCTGCAGAAGTAAAAGAAAAATCTTGGCTATTATTATGTTGGCATGTCTAAAGGAAGGAAAATGATTCATATAAAACATTATAAAAATGCTGTATTACTTTTGGAACACTGAACAAGTGAATGAATACATCAAAAATAAGAAAAGTAAGAGAGAATAAAGAGACTTATATCCAGTATATCCTTTGATCAGCACGTCCTCATTTTCCACCTCGCTGCAAATGTCATCTCTAAAGCGCTTTGTCCCAAGACTTTTCCATCTCTTGTTAGTCTGTTGGTCCTGTCGTGTACACATATCTGTGTGCACAGCTATTCCTCTCCAGCCTTAAACCCCTGTGGTTGGCACCACAACATAATATTGTCTCACCACGTATATCAAACTGTCTCTCCTCTCAGTCCCTGCCAGATCCCACCATCACCTCCAGAGTTAGCTGCTCCATTACTTCAGGTCCAGTTTCTCCTGTTCTTTCTTTTGCCAATGTTAACTTTCCATTCTGCACATTATTCTTAATTTGACAGTGTACTTAGCTCCTCATCATGCTTTTCACCCGACATACACTGCTAACCCCGACCACCTTTTCTTCACTCCTCTGTCTCTAAACCCTCTCCCACTCAAGTTCTGCTTTTCAATAAATCTATAAAACCTTCGCCTTTGTCTGGGCACTGCTTTTGGGAGCAGCTAGATGCTAAACTTTAACACAGAGATTGTTATTCAGAACCACACTATACCTTCACAGTAGGCATTATCATCTCGCAGTGGGCGGAAGCCATCCTTACAAACACAGCAGTCTCCTGCCTCCAGGTTCACACAGTCAGAGTTCTCCATGCAGCCGTTGCCCTCTGAGCAGAAGTCATGACCTGCGGGAGGCAGGGAGGAAAAGGGTGAGACTCAGAGGATAGAAAAGGAGAGGAGTGACAGAGGCATACAGAGGCAGTCGAAAGGTTATATCATAGCTCCACACCTTTTTTTTTTCCCCTCCACAGTATCTTAACTGTGGTGTTTTTTACTAGTATATGAGGGCAATACACTCAAATATGCTCTCTACATCTGACTTCACAGAAAACTACGCTGCACTATGAATGAGTAGGTAAAAATTTAAAGACCATACTTATTATTTTACAACTTTCAATTCAATTTTCACATGCACTTTTTAACTGCTGCAATTTATTTTAAAATAAAGGAGATCTTTCTTACAGAAAAGAACAGAAAAACTACCCAACCACCTTGTAGAGAGAATTCATTTGAAAAAAAAAATGTGTAAATGTCATGCTGAATGACCTGAAATCAAATGTCAAAATCAAACAGTTAGCATATAAACATGCTCCAAAGGTGTGGTGGTTTCGTGCATTAACAGGTCTGAATTCTTGCATGTTTTCTGAAGCATAAGATCATGCTTCTTCAATACCTCTGCAGACTTTACAGCATCTGCCACTCAAAGCAATCTGCTCCGACTCCGGACAGTTGAGTTCGGGACAAGGCTCACTGGGGACCACTCGATGCATGGTCCTGTCCTGTGAAGAGAGGAGGCAAAATCCTTGTCAGCAACTTCTTAGGTGAACTCTGCCCCCTTCATTTCCTAAGGGCCCAGAGGTAATTATATAGGTAATTATTCATCCATTGTGTTTCCTCTTTCATGGCCCCACTCTCCCTGCTCCCGCTGTGTTCATTATAAGCCAATTACTCATTGGTCAATCACATTTTTTCACCCCAAAAAAACTACCTGTGGAAAGGGAAAGAAGAAGGGGAAAGCACGCTCTTCTTCTCTTGTTATCCTCAGCAATTTACATCAGGATTTATGATGCATCTTTATTACACTAACAGTGAATCAATCTTCTAGATTATCCCTGCATGTGCGTTTAGTCAGAGTGTAAAACCTGATTATGAGGTTCTGTTTCCCTGCATGCCTTTGGCAGGCCAATGTGATGATCTCATCCTTGTACCTCCAACTGATGCCCTTTTAGATTCCAGATTGCCACAGATAGTTCGACAAAAACAACAGACCTCCTCTGTTAATTCCTAGTGGACAAATGTTTTCCTAAGGATAACCTTAAATCAGGAGGTTAAAAAGGCATCCTTATAATATGCCATCTCGGCTCACGCACAGGTAAAGTTCTGGAACAAACTTCCCCCAAAAGTCCCCAAACAACTTTCCAAACAAGCCTTGCCATCTACTTCTGGCCACCCACCACCCAAAACTTGCACCCCCAACCCAACCCGCCTCCCTCGCAGCCAGCAGGCAGACAGAAGATCAGAGACGTGACAAGCAGCTGTCAGGGGAAGCCTGCAGAAGTCTGCAGCAGTGGGCTGACTGACAGCACTTCTTTGATCTGCCTGTGACTGCCAGTCAGTTAACTGGGACTACAGATGGGCCAGGTGTGGGCAAGCAAGCCAGGCAGCTGTCTGAAACTGCAGATTCTAATGGAGCTTTGCAGAATTCATGGAGGAACTGGATGATATGATAGAGCTGGGTGATTAAAAACTTCAAATCATTTTTCTGTGATTGATTGGGCCTGCCTGGAATAATGTCATCAAGCGAATTACTCCCAAAAGTGAGCAACCCACCCATCTGGTGCACCAGGCAGACAAAAGCAAATACTTTGAATAATTGGGGAATGAATCTAATTTGGGACCACTGTGGTATCTGATGATTGGTACTGAAGAATAGATGTGGCATTCTCTGACTGACAGGTATACCTCCTTTTTACATTTTGGCCTCCAAATGTAAAATTGAGTAGTGGGATTCGGTCTTCTTTTCTTTTTTTTCTTTTTTTTTGTAGGACAGCGACAAGACAGATCAATGAAATTGAGCTAAAGCGGACAAACTCACAAGATGGGGTATTGTATCCTGCCACAGTGGGTCACACAGCGTAAGTATTTAGTAAGCTGTCATGCAGAGCAATATGGAAATTAGGAGACTTGAAGTGTTTAGGTCCATGAGGTAATGTGGGGTCTCTTTCTAAAAGACGTTCTAAAGAGCCTTCTAAATGAAAGTGGTTGCGTGTGTGTGTGTGTGTGTGTGTGTGTGTGTGTGTGTGTGTGTGTGTGTGTGTGTGTGCGTGCGTGCGTGCGTGTGTGTGTGTGTGTCGATGTGACTTACCCTGCATTCAAACAGCAGGCACCTGCCAGCAGAGTCACGTACAGCTTTCTGATCTCCTTCCACCAGTTCTCTTCCACCAAATAAGCA